TCATTTTTTGATTGTATTATATATTTTATTTATTGTTTATATTTATTTGAGACCTATAATATTAATTATATTTATTTATTTAATAATATGTAAAAATTATATACAATTATACATATGCAACCATCTTTAAAAATAAAGGTAAAAAAAAAATGCTAGAATTCTCAAAAAAAAAAAAAGTTTGAATTCCCAAAAAAAATGCAACAAGCTTCTTGGAGAAGCTTTGAGAAAGTTAACGGAAAGATAACGAAGGAAGGGACGGAAGTGACGGACGGTAACAGCCCAACGAACGGAAGTTACAAAAAATAGCTATTTTCTTCCATTCTTATAGGTTAGGGGCTAAAACCGTTATGTTATAAGGTGAGGGGCTAAAACCGTTATGTTATAAGGTGAGGGGCTAAAACCGTTATGTTATAAGGTGAGGGGCTAAAACCGTTATGTTATAAGGTGAGGGGCCAAAACTGTCCAACTTATCAAAGTAAGGGGCTATTCTTAGGCTTTTGCCTGTTTACTTTTCCTTCTTGATAGTGCACTCCCACTTCAATTTTAAATTTTTGATTCACTTACAACTCTACCTCTTAGAAACAGTCTGCAGCTCTACTCTTAGAACTCTAAACTTTTAATTTGTTTCTAAAATGATATTCTAATTCTCCTAACTAAATTTTAAAAAAGTATCATTCTAGAAGTTTTAAAATTATGTAATAGAACTGATTTTAATATTCTACTAGGGATGTTAACGGGCTCGTAGAGCTAGAGAGTCCCTTCTCATCCTTGTTCCCGCGAATGGTGAGGATGAGGATCCTCACGGGGATTTTTGATGGAGGCAAATTTTGCCTCCCATCGCCATTCCTCACAGGGAGGGGATCCCCATTCCTCACCAATTAATATTACAATATAACTTTTTTACATATAATTAATTAATATTCAATTATAATGAATAAAATTTTAAAAATTCAAGTACAATTAACTAAAATTATTTAAACATAAATCAAATATAAATTGTCCAAATATAAATAAAGATCAAATCAACATAAATAGCTAAATCAACAAACTTATTAATGATGGGTTGGGTTAATTTTTATGGGTTGAATTGAGATGAGTTGGGTAAAATTAGGTTAAGTTTAATTTTTATCGGTTTGGATTTGGGTTTAAAGGTTGAATTAAATTTAAAATAAAATTAATTTACATATTCTTTTAATTTTTTGTGAGGATAGAAATTCTCACGGGGCTCACGAGACAGGGAAAATTCCCTACAAAATTTCACAGAAAAAAAAGCCCACCGTCCCCGCCAATCGCCACAGGACCCCGTAGGGAACGGGGTAAATTGTCACCCTATATTCTATTATTCTTGGATATTTTGTTGAGAAGTTTTAAATTTTGATTATGAATGCTTCTAATCAATCTTAGTGATATTTATATTAATTTTTATTTGCTTTTAATAGGGTTTGGAAGATGGGATTGAATCATTGGAACATTAAGAAAAAAAAGTAATTTTAATATTTAAGAATTACTTACATTGTACTTGAAACTTAAAGTCATTTTTTATTATTCTTGGTGCCGTTGATGTAGCAAAGAAAATTATCCATATGTTTTCAATCTTTACAATTGTAAAAGAGTATAAAAATTTGTTTATAATTTATGCTTTTTATTATATTTCTACTGACTTTGATATTAATGTGTTTTATAGTTGTGTTTGTTACTTGACGTTAAAATTTTTTATATTATCTTATATGTTTAATAGTGTTTAAAACTGATCAATTTGACCAAATCAAATTAATTTGATTTAAGTTAGATTAATTTAGTTATCATATAATAGTATATTAAATTAATTTAAAAATTTTACTAACCGATTAAATTAAATTGATTTAAAAAATATTAAAATTCAAACCAAATCACACTGCAAACATCCCTAATTAACAGATATAAAAGAATTGCCCCTCATTAAAAAAAAAAAAAACTAAAATCAAAATTTAACCATTCAAAAAGTCTAAAATTTAAAACCTAAAATCTAAATTTAACATTAAAATTTTAACGTAAACCTTTTTTTTTTTCAATATTTTAGGTGGGCCTGGTGGATCTCCGCCACTGGATGGACTCATAATGAATGCCTTCCCTCGTCTAATCTGGTGACTTTTATTTTATCAATTGGTGGAGTCCAGGCTAGATAACAGGGCACCTATTTATACTAAGCAACCCAATCCAATTGTTAGCCTTTTGTTCTCTCCTGTTACCCCCTTAACCACCAGATCATTTTTTCCATTTCAATGATTTCATCGTTCGCTCTTTTCACTTTCTCCATGCAAATAGTTCGAAAGGGAACCGGCTGTAGCACAGTAGCACTTCACCTCTATCGATTTCCATACAGTTTTACGCCAATTTCAACTAATTTTCTCTTATCTTGGATTAAATTTCATCAATTTCATTTCTTTCACCCTAATTCTCATAGATTCTAGTTAAACCCACTAAGGCACCAGTTGGGTTCTCCATATCCATTAAATGCCATCCAATTAAGCTGAAGATTTTCTCTGGGTGGCGAATTTAGCAACACCCGCGGGGACCTAAGAGATTGAAGAGTAAGTCAGCGAAGAAAGAAAAAGGAGCTTGAGTTCTCTCTTTAACCGAGTGCGGTGGTTCAAGTTGTGAAGCCCGTCCGCTCAATCCCTTACTGTTCAGAGTTGAGTATTTGGAAGAGAAATTAGAGAAATTCGGGGATAAAACCCTCTCGGGTACATGGCTTAGCTTCTTTCAAGCTTCAAGTGGACTATTTCAAGTTCTAAGTAAGTGATTTCAGACCTTGACTAACTGATTGTGACTGTCTGTCTTCTTCTTTGTTTTTGGTTTCTTCACTTTTTAACTGGCATCAATAATTAATCAAAAGTTTTGATCTTTAGCAACCCTTTTTTTTTCTTTAGCAGAAGGAAATATTGTGTTTGTGATGAAAAAAGAAAAACCCATTTTTCCCACAAATAACCTTGGAGCAGATCTGGAAATCCCCTGTTCACCACTCCTCCTGATTTGCTCTTTTTAAATAAAAAATTAAAAAAATGCTTTTATTTAAAAAGATTTTACGTGAAAAATAAAAAATGAGTCCGAGAACCGTATCGGCTGAAATTTGTATTCCGGCCGACATGACCGATTTTTCAACTGGTACGATATAAACAGTATATGGTACTGGTTTTAGGCCAATACTGGGACGAAATTGTTTCATGAGTTTAGGTTTTGCCCACTAGCATAAGTTCTTGACTCCGCCACTGTATTGGTAGAATTTTTTATTAACCAAAATATTTTGGTTAAATCGGTTTGGTAACTAAAATATTTCAATTATTTTGTTTCAGCAAGTGAAATATTTTAGTTAGTTCAGTTTGGTAACTGGTTAATCCGGTTAACTGAAATTTTAATTATTTTAGTTAATGTGGTCATTTAGTTAACCAAATCTTTCTTCACCTTATTGATAACCGGACCTAACCTTTATATTTCAATTTTAACCGATTTAATCAGTAACCCAATTAACTTAAATTAGATAAACTTATTTCAGTTTTAAAAATTGGTTTATTTGATTTTAGCCGAATTGTGCCGAGTACTGGGGTTAATTGGTTAACTTATTTCACCTTATTTTATTTCTATTCTTTATGCATCTAATGATTAGGGATAGCAACCCATTTTTCACAAATTCTTTTTCATGGAACTTAAAGTTCGTGTTTGAAACCTCTAAGTTGCATTATTAACATGTTTTAGAATATTGAAAATTATCTTTACAGGATGTATGTTACGTTGCAAAGAGAGTCTCCTATCTAATAAACTTTAAGTTGAATATTGTTGCGTCAGCTTTATACCAAGTGTTCAATGAAATAAGTTAAAGTTCTTTTCTCTTTGATTTTTTTTATTGGTATATTAATTATTTTCTTTTCTCATAAGTTGAAGCTTAAGTTGCTGAAACAAAATTTCAACCACACAGTACATTCTACGTTCATTTCTATGTAGGGGTAAATATGCTTCTCATTCTTAAGTAGTTTTGAATGGATGTCCCTCCTCTAACTTGGATCAAAAAACAAAAGCTTTAAAACTGATTTTTTTAATTTTATAGATCCTTCAAATTATAAATGCTGTATTTGCTAACTTTTTAGGTTTTATTATTTTAGGTACATTATATTGCTAATTACATGTGAAGTAAGGAGTATTTCTTGTGTGCCATATATTTCTAAGTAGTTTTGGGCTCCGAACAAGTCAATTTCCTCAGTAGTGAATTATTGATCATGCATGCTTGTCTATGGATTAATGTAATGCAATATTTAGCTTCTAATAATATTGTTGAATTACTTAAATTCTTCTATGAAAATTCTTTACGTTTTAATTAATCTATTCTGTCATGGTTACTTTGTAATGGACTAATTCTTTGAGTCTTTTTTGGTGCAAATGGATTCTTTGAGTGTTTACCATGAAAAGAAAAGGTGTATTCTGTGGTTCTATTCTAATATTCTTTCTCTACTTTTCTGTTGTTTAAATCTTTCATCAAGACCCAGCCACACCATGCATGGTAAGCGCAGCATAAACGAACCTCTGTAGTTTGCTTTGCTCTATATATCATCTCTCTCAAGGTCTTGATCATTGAATTTGGTTATAATCCTTTGTCCCACATTTATTTGTATTTGTATTCCCTTGGTCTGGTTTCTTTTGATAAAACTTTCATTTAACGTCTCCATTTATATATTACATTTTTGTTTCATATTTAGATCTACACCAAGTCTTACCCATATATATAGTATATGACTGCAGAGGTGTAGAATATGTAATTTTTTTTTTTTAATTGGCTGTAGAATATGTAATTATAACTAACACTATACATACTTTTTACGTTTGACAGATTTGAAATGGAGGGCTCAAGCAGAAGTAGAGGTAAGATTGATTTGAACATATTGGTCTCAATTAAGCAGCTGCCTTATTGAAGTATTTATAACTGGATTAATAATATCTTAATTATTTGCATGTGCGTGCATTGCAGGAGAAGAAGCTGATCAGGTGACTGAAAATGTTCATTATATTGAGTTGAGGAGGAGCATTTGCAAAGGAGAGTGGGATGGAGTAAAGCAGTTTTTTGTTGATCACAAGTATCCACTAAATACAATAATATTATCAGACTACACTGCTCTTCATGTTGCAATCGAGTCCGGGCAAGATACGATTGCCGAGGAATTGGTAAACATGATGTCAGAAACAGATCTGGAAATAAGAAAGGGTAGACCTGGGGCTGAAGGTCACACGCCTCTTTCCTTAGCTGCATGGACGGGAAGAACACATGTCGCAAAATGCTTGGTCCAAAAGAACAGCAAGCTACTTACAATTGAAACTAACAAAGGCTATATCCCAGTAACTGTCGCAAGTTCTGTTGGCAACAAGGAGATGACAAAGTACCTCTACTCTATCACCCCACATGAGGTCTATGGACCAGAAAAAGTCATTCATGGATTCCGTCTGATCTACTGGAGTATAGCTAACAAAATGTTAGGTAGGTAAATGAATAATCAAACTTTTTTATTTTGTTGTGTCTTAGCTAGCAAACTGACAGAGTCTTTTAGTTTTTTATGGATTTGCTTCCGATTAAATACTAAAATTTTTTATCAGTGACGTTATATATGTGTGCCTAGATATTTACCAAACTAAGGAGGTTGATCATAAATATAATTGACTTGTTGAAATATTTCTACCGGAGTGACTTTTCTCCTTGTTATTGAGAAACCAGATATTTGTTTGGATCTACTTCAGCGCAACCCAAGCTTGAGTGTTACTACAAACAAGGAAATACAGTGGATGTCTACTCTTCGTACATTGTCCAGTCAACCTTCTGTATTCTCTAGTGGATATCAGCTTTGGTTTTGGCAAAGATGGATTTATCATTGTTAGTATCTATTATATAATATATATATATATATATTAATTTTTAAATTTTATTGTTGTTTGGCTATATATATTTTTTTTGAACAGCAATAATATGATTATTTATATATTAATAAGCGGAGTACAAGGGGTACCCCAAACCCATAACAATACTGATAGAAAAGTCTAATATTCCCCAAGTGAACTAGCAAAGTGTCGACACCCACTAAAAGTGTCGACACTACACTCGTGACGAACATCAATCTACCGTTGCATAATCTTCATATCACCCTGCACAGATCATCAAAATCTTCCCAATATTGAATTCCACTTGCAATCACATCATTGAGCATGCATTGACTACTTCTACTTTAACCCTCTCAATCCATGAAGGAGTAGACTATAGTCAAAGAGCTGCTCAATGTGTCCATCATGACCCAACTCCATTTCTATACTAAGCAAAATTGTACAGCCCTATATCTCCTCATCAGACCCTCTTTTTCCGACCAGCATGGAGACTTTTAAGACAATCTACTGGGTTAATAAGCCAATCTGTGAGGGTGAAAGCATACCTGTCCAGATTTGCAGTACTCCATTGGAAGGATCGCACTTGTATGATTTCCAGCAACTTTCTCGGGTCAGTTTTTTTTTCTTGGAAAATCATTTGATTTCGAGCAAGCCACACTGTCCAAATTACAGTACTCCAAATGCAATCCCAGCCTTCTTTTACCTTTGGATCTTTGCTCCATTTCCCAAACCTTTGAAATGAATTCCAGCAATCCCTTTCCAACCGAATCTCTGTTCCCCACCATTTAGCGCATTCTTGCCACACCCAACTGGTTATTTTGCATTTCAGGAATAGGTGTTTGGAGTCTTCATCTTCCTCTTTGCAAAAGACGCATTTGCCATCATCTGATTCTCCAAGAATCCCTCTAATGATCAAGTTTACTTTTGTTGGGATTCTGTCAAGCAAAAGTTGCCAGTTGAAGGCTGAGACTTTACTTGGAAATTTGGGATTCCATATTCTTTTGAATGTCGAGATCTCATTTGTTTCTATCTGATCCTTTGTTAGGATTGAGTATGCTGTCTTAGTGGAGTATTGTCCATCCTTGTCATGGACCCATTCCCACGAGTCAGGCCTTCCTTGCTTGATTCTCTTGTCTTCTATCCATTGTTGGAGTTCCTTTGCCTCTTCATTCTCCCATTCAAATAGCTTTCTTCTCCATTGGAGGTTCCAGCTCCATTGTTCATTTCCGTCATTTCCCATTTGGTGGCACTTGTTGTCCTTTCCTGTAGATATCAAATACAATCTAGGGTATTTATTAGCAAGATGGCCCACCCCGCACCAGTTATCCCACCAAAAGCTCACCCTCTTCCCATCCCCAAGCTTTAATCTAAAACCTTCCGACAGCCATCCTACTCTCTCCCTATCCAATTTATCAATGCAGCATACATCCCTCCACCATGAAGAGCCTAGTCCTTCTTTTTCTTTAATCCAGTCCATCCAATGTCCCCCCCTCTCTCCATACTTCCCTATAATTACTCGTTTCCACAACCCCTCCCTATTTTCAGCAAGACGTCCCCACCATTTACCCAACAATGCTAGATTAAACTTCCGCAACTCCCTCACACCCAACCCGCCTTCCTCCTTTTTTTTACACACCTTATCCCAACTGACCCACTTTATTTTTCTCTCTTCACCCCCACCCCCCCATAAAAAACTTCTACGAATTTTATCAATAGAGTAGAGTATACCTTTCGGGATTAAGTATATTGACATGAGGAACACAGGCAGGCTGGACAACACTGAATTAATGAGCGTGATACGGCCTCCCAAGGATAGATACCGACCCTTCCAAGTAGATAGTTTTTTTCTGAATGAATCCACCATTGGCTTCCACATTGCCACTCTTTTATGATTACCTCCAATTGGGATCCCCAGATATTTGAATGGAAACTCCCCTTCCTTACAACACAACCTGCAAGCCATCTTATTTCTCCAGTTGTCTTCAACCCCAATCCCCATTAATTGGCTCTTCCCAAAATTAATTTTAAGACCAGACACCAACTCAAAAGTTCTCATTATACTTTTAATAGCCCCGATATTGTCGTCCGATGCCTCTCCGAAAAAAATCGTATCATCCGCAAATTGAAGGTGTGACACCGAGACTCCTTCCTTCCCCACTGTCACTCCTTTATATAGCTGTTTCTCCACTGCAGAGGATACTAGCCCATTTAATCCTTCAGCTACTATTAAAAATAGGAAGGGTGATAGCGGGTCACCTTGTCTTATCCCCTTGCTAATCGGGAATTGATTTGTTGGGCTTCCATTAATGAGAACTGAAACCGAGCTCGATGCTAAACATTCCCGTATCCAATTTCTCCAGATTGTATTGAATCCCATTCTCCTCATCATATAATCAATGAAATCCCAACAGACATTGTCATAAGCTTTCTCAAAGTCCACTTTGAACAGGAAGCTCTTCTTCTTCTTTTTCTTAGCCTCATCAATGACCTCGTTCGCTATCACAACTCCATCCACTAGCTGTCTACCCCCGATGAAAGCCATTTGCTGTTCCCCGATGATTTTTGGCAGCACTTTCCGAAGGCGATTTGCCAGCAGTTTAGCTATAATCTTATACATGACCCCAATGAGCGAAATGGGTCTGAATTCTTCTATCCTTTGTGGGTTTTCAACTTTTGGAATCAAGACAATGAAGGATGCATTCGATCCTCTTACAAGTCGTCCGAGCCTATGAAACTCTTGTACAAAATCGATGATCTCTGATTTGATGTCTTCCCACATCTCCTTAATAAATCTGAAGTTGAAACCGTCTGGGCCTGGGGATTTTGAGGAACCGCAATCCCATATAGCTTGTTTGATTTCCACTTCAGAAAATGTGGCTGTAAGGAGTTCATTGTCTACCCCTGAAATCTGGTTGAAACTAATCCCATCCAGTCTCGGTCTTTGCCAATTTTCTTCTGTAAACAGTTTTTCAAAGTGTTCTGCAACTGCTTTTTTTATTCCCAGAACCCCAGTGTGTTGTACACCCTTTATCTGGATGAAGTTGATTTCATTTCTTCTGCTTCTTCCCTTCACACACCTATGGAAGAACTTTGTGTTCGCGTCCCCTTCTTTCAACCACGCCATTCTTGACTTTTGCTGCCACATTCTCTCCTTGATTCTCAAGTGCTTCCATAGATCTAAAAAGCAATTTCTTCTTTTTTCAATGTCCGTATCAGACAATGTGCTCTTCTCTCCTTGTTCATCTATTTCTGCTATCGTCATTTCGGATTCACTGATTTTTCTATCCACATCTGCCATTGATTTGCTGCTCCAGTCCTTCAATGCTTTCTTGGTCATTTTCAGTTTCTCTTTAAGCTTATATCCCTTCCCTCCATTTATTTCACATGAATTCCATGCTGTTCTGATAATCTCCTTACAATCTGGTTGCTCCAGCCAAGCGTCAAAAAATTTAAATGGTTTTGGACCCCAATCAATCTTCTCTTCCTTCAGTAAAATAGGGCAGTGATCCGACACCGATCTACGCAAACCCCATTGTTTCACATCTCCCCATACTGAAAACCAGCCTTCCGAAATCAAGAATCTATCAATTCTACTCATGAATTGTCCATTAGAGTTATACCACATATACTTTCGACCCACCAGTGGTAAATCAATTAACCCCGCATTGTGAATAAAATCATCAAACTCTTCCATCTATACAGACATCCCCTTACATCCTGCTCTTTCTTCTATACTTCTCACAGCATTAAAATCTCCTGCGAGGCACCAGTTTCCATTTCTACTCGAAATTAAATGCTGCAATTCCTCCCACAAGGCTCTTTTACCCGTCACTTGGCAAGGTGAGTAAATATTCAAAATGTGCACAAGTATTTCTTTCTCTCCCCATACACCAGTCACTCCTATAAAATTATCTCCCTCAATCACCTCTATCAATTTTAATACCTTAGGGTTCCACACACACAGCAAACCACCCGACATACCCACCGATGGTTTTGAAATCCACTCCATGTCATCTGTACCCCAAACCCCTCTGCAAATACTATTATCTACAACTTGCAACTTCGTTTCTTGAATAGCTAAAAACTCCACTTTTTCCTTTTTCACTAACTCCCTAATTTGCCTTCTCTTCCCAATCCCTCCAAGACCCCTAATATTATAAGACAACAAGATCATCAAGATCACAACATACCTTCCTCGCCTCCCCAGAACCGTGAGTTGTCTTCTCTGCTTTGTCTCGGCTGTCCCTACTCTCCATCTCTTCAATTCTTTGAATGATCTCCCTATCATCCTCGGCCACTGCCCCTAGCTTTTTCGCAAGGTCCCAAATCTCCAGTGCTAAATTATTCTTCATTTGCTTCTTCAACCATCTATTACAATTCTGGATCCCGCTATCACCTACCGAGTCGCTCGCAATCTTCCCCTTTGATCCAGGTAGAAAGCTTGGCTCAGATCTCCCCTCTGCGTCTTGTTTGCACTGTTTTCTTCTTCCTTTCTTTGAATTTGGACCCATACCCACTGCTCTTGCTTTAGCATACACGGATCTACACATCTTGATTCTCCTTTTCTTCTTCGTTGAGCCCTCTTCTCTTTGCTTCTTGATCCATTCTTCTATGCCTCGTTGTTCTGTTTCAAAACCGTTCCAGAACGGGTCATCTTCTGCAAATTCCAAGCTGTTCTGTTCTACCTCCTTATTTCTAGAAGAGCCATCAATAATTGACCAGCTCTTAATTTCCTTCCCTTTTTGTGTTTGCGTCCTGCCCATATTTGTTGATTCTTCAAAATCTGTATTTTCAGCTTGTGGATTGAGCTTCCCCTCTGTTTCCGTCAGATCATGCTCGGTAAGGCCCAGCTGTAAGCTGCTTTCTCCCCGCCTGGATTTAACATCCAGGCCCAACTTTATGCTGCCTTCTATCGGCCCGGACTGCTCACTAAGGCCCAGATGTTCTCCCTCCTCACCGCCCAATCTACCTGACAAAGCAACGTCTCCCTGCAACAACCGCTCCTCCTCTGCCCCTACTATAAACACTACCTCTTTCAAATTTTGAATATATTCCAGGCTGTTTTCCTCTGAGTTGCACTGTTTCCCCTTCCTCGATGTGGCATGTTCCCGAGGTTTCTCCATTCCCCTTCTTTGCCAACCCGCCACGTCATCATCTTCTTCCTGGAGACCACTTCCATTCACCTGGGCAAACTCCTCTGCAAATACAGACCCCTGTTTCTCCCTCTCACTTTCAGTGGACCATCCTTCATTCTCTACGGAATCACTTTGGTATGCTGGGAAAAAGTCATGTTTTAGGGAAAAAAAGCTATTTGTAAATTCCTCTTCAGTGAATTTCAGATTGTATATTCTCCCATTGATTTGGACTTGGCGCAGGAATGAGATTGTATTTCTAATCGGAGTAGAGATCAAGAATCTTGCTATATCAAATCTCATTTTTTTGCTTGTGTTATCATCTAAACAGATGAATTTTCCCCAAGAGCAGGCCATTTTTTCAAAGAAGTCCAGCCCCCATACATTTAATGGTGTCCCTTGACATCTAACCCACACGAATCTCTCATTAGCTACTGATTCCGGTGTCCAAGGGCGCACATCTTCAAACCATTGGCTTAGCCAATCAGAAGCCATTTCCACAAGATCCTTCAGTTCTTCTTTCTCCTCACAATCTAACAAGACCATCTTCCCCCCCATTGCTCTAACCCGACAGGAGAAATACCCTTCCATGTAAAATTTCTCCTGGAGATTTCGAACCATCTCAACGGAATGAACCGTTCCTACATAGCACCCTTTAAGCCATTCATATTCTTCTGGTTTTGCATTATACTCCATTCCCTCCCACCTTTTTCCTATCCCTTTTTCCTTCCAAACTCTCCTATTTCCGGAGCTTTCATGTTCAATTTTGGTTTTGATTCTACTGCTTGTTGGTCTTCTTTCTACCTCTTGATTGAGCAGCAGATCGCTTCCCTTTTTTGGTCCGCTTACTTGTAATCCCAGCACCACTTCTGCATAACTTCTGTCTTGCTTTTTTGGGGCAACAGCTTGATACTTCCTCCATTCCCCTTCTTGTTTCTGCGCATCATCATATCTTGGTGTATTAACCCATAACTTTTGGCCTCCAACCCAAATTTGATCCAGTTGCATTTCCAGCTCCCTTTTATTTATAACGTCTAAAAACCTCACAAACCCGAATCTACTCCCATTTCTGCTTCTTCTGTTAGGACTATAAATGTCGTACACCCTTCCAAATTTTTGAAAAGTTCTCCACATGTCTGCATAGCTCCAGTCATCCGGAAAATTAGAGAAAAAGTATGGTGTGGCTTGCTTGTATAATCCCTTGTCATACGCACCCTCATTCTTCCACTTTCGAGTCTGGTTCTGAACGTGTTGCCTTTCCCTCCGTTCCTCTGTTTTCCACCTTCTGGTTCTGCTTCTACCCCGGGACCCTGCACGCTCTTGATTCAGTGTTGTCCGCCTTGCTAGTGACCGTCGTCCGTCAACCACCCCTCTCTCTCTCTCTCTACCTCTCTCTCTCATCCTCACTGATATTGTTCTAGTTTTTTTGGCTATATATATTGATTTAAACTATTTGCGATATTATGTATTAAAGGGTTAAAGGTAAAGCTACCAACCACTTCCTCTGGTGAAGTACGAATTGCTGTTCCACGCTATCAAAGCCACAACCAAAAGAACATCAAAAGACAAGGTATTTGTATGTATCCAAGTTAATTACACTTATTAGATAACGTAATATCATTTCAAAATTTGATTTCAATTCGTTTTCAAATACCATTTCCTTGTTTGAGAATACAACAATATTGAACTTAGCTAGGATAGATATGTGCGTATTTCAGATTTATTTATGTATTTAATTTTAAATTAATGTAACTAATATACATGCATGGTCATGGACTACTTATAACTATTGTTTTAAGTCAGCATGTATATAACAGGGGTTCAATTTTGCAGCATTTGGTCTACTTCGTGGATTTGGATTAATGCTCCTAAATTTCTTTGGTAATTA